AAAATAAATAAAAAAATAAAAGAAACAAGTTTGAAAACAACAAGTCATATTCGGTATCTTCAATCCGCCACGGATTTGACTTTTATACAAAGCGTGCAAAATATGTTACTTAAAAAGTCATATTCGGTATCTTCTTTCTGCTACGGATATGACTTTTATTTAAGTTAGAACATGCTACGGATATGACTTTTATTAGTCCCCTACCGGTTTACCGGAGGGGACTTTAGGTTTTTTCTGTCTCTGTCCGTCCGTCTGTCCGTCTGTCTGTCAGTCCGTCAGTCCGTCCGTCCACAAAACTGGATCCCGCGATAACTTGAAAAGTACTGAAAATATTTTTATGAAACTTGATATATGGATAGATGGCAGTATGGAGATTATGCACGTCTTTTTCTTTTCTTCCTATGTTGAAAATTCTGGTTGCTATGGCAACAAATAGGCTGAAAATATGACAAATTTTACACATAAACTGGATCCAGTGATAACGCAAAAAGTACTGGAAATATTTTTATGAAACTTGATATATGGATAGATGGCAGTATGGAGATTATGCACGTCTTTTTCTTTTCTTCCTATGTTTAAAATTCTGGTTGCTATGGCAACAAATAGGCTGAAAATATGGCAAATTTTACACATAAACTGGATCCAGTGATAACACAAAAAGTACTGGAAATATTTTTATGAAACTTGATACATGGATCGATGGCAGTATGGAGATTATGCACGTCTTTTTCTTTTCTTCCTATGTTGAAAATTCTGGTTGCTATGGCAACAAATAGACTGAAAATATGGCAATTTTTACACATAAACTGGATCCAGTGTTAACGCAAAAAGTAATAGAAATATTTTTATGAAATTTGTAATATGTGTAGATGGCAGTCTGGAGATTATACACGTCTTTTTCTTTTCTTCCTATGTTGAAAATTCTGGTTGCTATGGCAACACATAGACTGAAAATATGGCAAATTTTACACATAAACTGAATCCAGTGGTAACTCAAAAACTACTGGAAATATTTTTATGAAACTTGACATATGGGTAGATGGCAATCTTGAGATTATGCAGGTCTTATCAGTTCCCCCTATTTTGAAAAAATATTGGTTGCTTTGGCAACAAATAGGCTTAAAACATGGCAAATATAACAATATTTTTGACTAGTCAAAAAGAGCTGAAACTTTTTATGAAATTGCATCTTTAATTCCAGAGTTATCTCCTCTTTAAGAAATTTGCTTTTTAAAATGTTATATTTTGGTAACAGGGATGTTTCAAATATTAACTTTAGAGTGTCCTTCAGTTCGTCTGTCTGTCTGTTCATAAAAACTTATTCCTGTGATCACTTTTAAAGAACATTTCCAACAAATTTACTTAAAATAGAGAAAAATTTACACATTAGTGAATGGCCAATGGCCCTTCAGAATGCTGATGGGGTTCTATCCGGTAGGGGACTTATGGATTGCTTGCAATACTATGATAATTGCTTGTTATTACAGTATCAAATTTAACCATTTTTGGCATGTAATTTCATTTTATTATTATAAAATATCATATGAAGAAAAAACTTTATGTACTATAAGTCATATTCGGTATCTTCTGTCCTTCACGTTAACCCATGTACTGAATCAACCGTTTCCGAATGTCGCGGATTGCTAGGTAAATTATGCGGTATGTGTTAATATCGGAGATGACTCATATCCTCGGATATGACTTTATAAATATGACTTATATTTTACAAAGTAATTATTTTTTTATTATATTTTCTTGATACGAAGTTTTATAATAATAAAATGATTTTACATGCAAAATATCGTTAAATTTGGTCCATAAATAAAAAAGTTATAAGTTATATTCGAATAACGTTCTATAAAAGTCATATCCGTAGCGGACAGAAGATACCAAATATGACTTATATTTTATAAATTGATTATTTTTTTATTAACTTTTCTTGATATGGTGTTTTATAATAATAAAATGATTTTATATTCAATATATCGTGTTTAATTTGGTTCATAAATAAAAAAGTACTTACATAAATAACCACAAACTAGGGAAGGGATTTTCTGTGTGTCACGCAGTTACATGTACTGCATGTGCGTGGAAATAACTTATTATAGAACATATCAAATGGAGGAGTGGAAACTGGATAAAAAATAATGTTTGTTCAATTAATGAATATTTGTAAATCATTTATATGGTCACACGTTTACAATTGATTCCATTTTTTTTTAAATATCGGGTATTGAATGCCAACCACAGGTGCTTGAAGCAAACTTTTTTATGTTCTATATGGGCTATACACTATATAAAATATATTAATCTTAGTATACATATACATGTATATATAATATATGCTGATTATGTAAAATATTTGATAAAGTGACTAGCCCCTGTGATGCCAAATGTTGTCAAACATTTTTTTTCCAAAATGAAAATGAAAATCACACCAAATTACCTCCCTGTGTCTCTAACAAATACTGCCGAATTTCGTTGTAATCTCGCACGTCTGCTAAGTGGGTGTTAAGACCCCTCAATTCAGATTTTAAAAAGGGAAACGCCAAGAAAATTTGTGTCAGTGTTTCTTTGTATTAATTAAATTACGATTATAAAATGTGAAACTTTAATAATTATTCACTGGTTCTAAACACTATAATTTGCTTATTTAACCCCAGTATATTTTGAACAGCAAGGACAGGATTTCACCTAATCCGTAACTTTGTAATTGCAACAACAACAATAAAATTAGAATGGAAAATGCTTTAAACTTTATACAGGGTTGTCATTAAGAGGCGGCAGGAGGCCAAAATGCCTGTCTCAAATGCATTATGGGCCGCCTCAAAATTAAGAAAACACTCTTTGTTATGCATGATAAAGACAGAAATTACCGCCTCAAGTTCAAAACAAACCTTCTGCAAAAAATGTTAATGACAACCCTGTTATAGTTACTAGTCATTAGTTGTCATTTATAGTTATATGATTAAAGAAATAGACAAATTGTTCAGTTTTCATACACTGTAAGCTTATGTATCTTTTTTGTTTTATCAAATGGTTTCTTTACAATAAGCTGCATAAAGTCGTCAGTGTCCTTATGGAACATTAAAAAAGTCTTGAAAGCTAAATATTGCCTGGCAATTGATATATCGCTGTATCGCCGATAATTCTTTACTGATATATCAATACAAAAATACTGATCGATAACATCTCTACTCTATTTTTTTCTCCCTGTAATTGATTTTTCTTAGGAACACATATCATATTTACCCAGTATTTTGGACTTTGAATTGCAATTCAAGACCATAATTACTTATTATGCCCCCATTTCGAAGAAAAGGGGGTATATTGCTTTGCACTTGTCGGTCCGTCGGTCTGTCGGTCCGTCGGTCCGTAGACCAAATGGTTTCCGAGTGATAACTAAAGAACCCTAAGGCCTAGGAACTTCAAACTTGGTATGGTGATTGGTCATGTCCAGTAGATGACCCCTATTGATTTTGGGGTCAAGGGGTCAAAGGTCAAGGTCACATTGACCTGATAGGCAAAAACGGTTTCCGATCAATAACTAAAGAACCTTAAGGCCTAGGAACTTCAAACTTGGTATGGTGATTGTTCATGATCAGTAGATGACCCCTATTGATTTTGGGGTCAAAGGTCAAGGTCACATTGACCTCTTGGGTAAAAACGGTTTCTGATCAATAACAAAAGAACCCTTAGGCCTAGGGACTTCAAACTTGATATGATGATTGGTCATGATCAGTAGATGACCCCTATTGATTTTGGGTTCAAGGGGTCAAAGGTCAAGGTCACATTGACCTCATAGGTAAAAACGGTTTCCGATCAATAACTAAAGAACCCTTAGGCCTAGGAACTTCAAACTTGGTATGGTGATTGGTCATGACCAGCAGATGACCCCTATTGATATTGGGATTAAGGGGTCAAAGGGCAAGGTCACATTGACCTTGTAGGTAAAAATGCTTTCCAATCAATAACTAAAGAACCCTTAGGTCTAGGAACTTCAAACTTGGTATGGTGATTGGTCATGACCAGCAGATGACCTTTTGATTTTGGGGTCAAGGGGTCAAAGGTCAAGGTCACATTGACCTTGTAGGTAAAAACGGTTTCCGATCAATTAACTAAAAACTTAGGCCTAGGAACTTCAAACTTTGTATGATGATTAGTCGTGACCAGCAGATGACCCCTATTGAGTTTTGGGTCAAGGGGTCAAAGGTCAAGGTCACATTGACCTTGTAAGTAAAAACGGTTTCTGATCAATAACTTAAGAACGCTTAGGCCTAGGAACTTCAAACTTGGCATGGTGATTTGTCATGACCAGCAGATTACCCCTAATGATTTTGGGATCAAGGGGTCAAAGGTCAAGGTCACATTGACATTGTAAGTAAAACGGTTTCTGATCAATAACTAAAGAATGCTTCGGCCTAGGAACTTCAAACTTGGCATGGTGATTGGTCATGAGCAGCTGATGCCCCTCATTGATTTTGGGGTCAAAGGTCAAGGTCACATTGACCTTGTATGTTAAAACGGTTTCCGATCAATAACTAAAGAACCCTTAGGCCTAGGAACTTCAAACTTGGTATGGTGATTGGTCATGACCAGCAGATGACCTATTGATTTTGGGGTCAAGTGGGGGTCATGACCAGCAGATGACCTATTGATTTTGGGGTCAAGTGGGCAAACGTCAAGGTCACATTGACCTTGAAGGTAAAAACGGTTTCTGATCAATTAACTAAAAACGCTTAGGCCTAGGAACTTCAAACTTTGTATGATGATTGGTCGTGACCAGTAGATGACCCCTATTGAGTTTTGGGTCAAGGGGTCAAAGGTTAAGGTCATGACCAGTAGATACTTGATAATCCTTTTTAATTGTTTGATCACTGGGTCAGAAGTCATGCATAATAACCTTATCACATGACTAATTGGCTGCTGATAGGGGGCATACATGTTTTACAAACATATCTTGTTTATATAAAATCTAACATAATCTTTTGTTTTTTTAGATAGAATATCAGGATGGCACATCAACTTCAGTTAGAGAAGGAAAAATACAGACAGTGGGTAAAGGCTGGTTTAGGACTTGGATATTTAAAGGAGGGACTGGTACCATTCTGTAATGACATAGCTGACCAACAACATAAGGATATTTTACAAAACATTCGGTCTATAAAGTCACTACCATCAACTGTGACATGTGGGGGCTGTCAAGTTGAAACTCTCAAGCCAGACCATAAGCCAGTACCTGGGAATGCTGGAAACAAAGTCTGTCCTCTTGGGCAAGTAAAATGCAGCTGTTGCTGTAAGGGCAAAATTGCTTGTCCGAACAACATATGTGGCGCCATCTATGACTTTATTGTGCAGCATCATGCCTCCACGCCACCTGCACCTAACTGGAAAAACAGCGATGCTCTACAGTGGGTGACAGATCCTTGGAGCATTTGTAAGTGTTTTATAAATGCTCCAGGGTACGAGCAGAAACAATCTGCCTGTGAAACTGATTGCACTGGGTTATTAATTCTAATGATAAATAACCAGTATTTTCATAGCCACATTGGATGCAATGTCACAGGAACAAACAACCTTTTTTCAAAGGTAAATCATTTATAAAATATGTTTTACTTATCTTTTATCAGCTCTATTGTAATGTTATAATAATCGTATAATTTAGTAAGTAAAAGAGAAAATGTAAATTTTACTACGAAGGTAATGAAGTAATTCACCACTAAAGATTCACAACAAATGTATAAAAATCCACCAATCGTTTTTATTTCAAAATTTGTTGTAACAATTCACAAGGCTTGTGGTTAATATTTACTGTACACATGTACAATTGTAGATTTGTATATAGAACTATTTGTGTACAGGCCTATTTTCCCCTATACCATGGGTCCAAATAAAGGCTCCATTCCCAATGCAAACTTTGTCTTCTGTTTCCCAATCCCAAAAAATCCATATCCCGACATCTTATATGCTGGCATATTTTTTCCCAAATAATAAATTTCACAACTAAGTCTTAGACACAATTTCCTCAAATTTGCAATAAATATATACATGTAAGAAAAAAGGCCTGGTATAATTTATGATTGCATCTTTTATGAAGGTAATTACCTAAACAAGTTTCAACAAAACAATTTTGATTGCTTAACAGTATATATATATATATGCATAGAACAATATTGAACCTGTGTTCTCTATTCAATAGGTACGTCAGTATAGAAATGCTATTTTCCACTCAAGCAGTATGGAATTGGAAGAAAGTGAGGCAAATACATACTTAGATGATATGATAGCAGTTCTACAAGATGGTAAGGAGCTGTTACAACGATCAGATTCCCAGATAGCGGTGAAGAAACTTCAAGATGTAAGTGCAAATAATGTATTATGTCAGTTTGATATCTTTATTGAGTCGACTTATAATGATTTAAGAAAACAGTCCACTAAATTCACGACATAATTTTGGGAACAGAATTTAAAGCAATATGATATTGAAGTAATAGTCAAATTCAAAACAATACTTTCCATAAGTTGATTGATAAAGTCACATAAAAATACATATATACCTATCAAAAGATAAAAGTTATAATAAAAGAGAATTTAGTTTGCAAGTGCAGTGAAACTAATTTTTTTTTTTAACTTACGAAATCCAAAAACTTGGAAATCCAAACAATGTTCAGGGTCCCAAAATTTTTACAATTCATACCTCTGAAATTGAGGAATTCTAAATTCTGATATTGTGGTAAAGTTTGGATTATATCAATAAAAAATTAACTTGAAATATCCGAAAATTGAAAAAGCGTATGAAGGATATTTTTCTTGAGATAATAAAACCAGCAATATGTTTGTATGATAGTATCTCTAATTATCTGTGACCCGCATATATCTTGACCCCTATTAGAACCTCAACATGTCATGCATGTCAAACCCTTAAGTGTGAAATTAATTCAATGATGAACTAAGGTTGCTTTGGCTACCGAAAGAAAAAACTTTTGAAAAATCTTTAAAAGCACCGAAAGAGCTAGAGCTTAAATATTTGGCAAGAAACATCATCTAGTTAGAGTCAAAATAGACCTGCCCAGGGGGGGGGGGGGGTCATTGATTTTCCTTATTTGTATATAGTAAAAACTTTAAAAAATCTGCTTTAAACAAAAACAATTAGCTAGAGCTTAGATATTATGCACAAAACATCTTCTAGACTGTGAGTACCAAGTTTGTTCAAATAAAAGCCCTAGGGTCAAAATTGGTCCCAGGGGGTCATTATTTTCCCTATATGTATTTAATGAAAACTTAAAAAGTCTTCTTTTAAAAACCAAAATAGCTAGAGCTTAGATATTAAGCATGAAACATCTTCTAGTGGGTGTCATCCAAGTTTGTACAAATAAGAGCTCTAGGGTTAAAATTGGCCCTGCACTGGGGGTCATTGATTTTCCTTTTGTGTGAGTAAAAACTGAAAAAAATCTTCTTTTAAAAACCCAGAGAGCTAGAGTTTAGATTCCAAGCATTAAATATCTTCTAGTGAGTGTGTAACAAGTTTGTGTAAATAAAATCCCTTGGGTCAAAATTGGGGAGGGAGGGGGATCATTTTCATTTCACAATGATCATTGTTCTTCATTATCTGTGTATAGTAAAAACTTAAAAAATCTTCTTTTAAAATCCTTAAAGTGCTAGAGCTTATATATTTATCATGAAACATCTTCTAATGGGTGTCTACCAAAATTGTTCAAATAAAAGCCCTTTGGCTAAAATTGGCCCTACCCCAAAGGCCTATATTCAGGTGATGGATTGCAGGGCCATCATGACCCTCTTGTTGGTTACGCTGAAATAGATAAGAAAACAGTGAGAAAATAGTAATGTCTGAGAATCAGATAAGTTACATAGGTAAGTGTATACTGCCTTAAAAAAGTGGATTTAAGAAAAAAGTATGAGAGTTTAAATAAAAGAGCAATTGGGATAATTTGAAATGAAGTTTGACCTGATATATAATATAGAAGAGTAAATATTATTAATTACATAGCTACATTTTTTATGAAAGAAAATATAACAAGACTGATCTCTTTTAATCAGCTGAAGAACAAAGATTTTATTATTACGACTGAAAGTTTTGAAGAGATTCTGAGGCAAATCAAAGAAGAAATGGCAAAAGTTTTGAAATCGACAGAAAGTGCTGCAACTAAAGAGGAACATGATGATCTGAAGAACAAGCTATTAGACCTTGAAACTAAGGTGTCCAAAGTAAATGACGAAAATCTGGAGAATGCAGAATTGAAAAAGAAACTTGTAGTCTTGGAGACTCTTGTTTCAGAACAGAAAGAGGTAAAACAAATTTCCTTCTGTTTGTTAATTAAATGTTACAACTGTATGCAACATCTTTACATTTAAGAAGATGAAGATATAATAATTGTAAAGAAAGAGGGGGTAAATTACTTTGCTTATGTCAGTCTGTCTGCCCTTCGAAAGCCAACATGATTTCCGCTGATTATCTTGAAAACTGTTTATCACAAATTCTTCATATTTCACATTTTGATTGGTCATATGTAGTAGATGACCCCTATAAATGATTTTGGGATCACAAGCTCAAAGGTCATGGCCACAGGGGCCTTAAATTTTAGAATGGTTTCTGCTTATTATCTTGAATATTACTTATCACACAGTCTTTATATTTCACATACTGATTGGCCAAAACTAGTTGATGACCCCTATTGATTTTGAGGTCACTATGTCAAAGCCATAGGGGCCTTAATATCAAAATGATTTCCGGTCCTTATCTTGAAGCGTTTATCCCAACGGCTTCATATTTCACATACTGATTAAACAAAAGTAGTAAATGATCCCTATTGATTTTGGAATCACTAGGTCAAAGGTCAATGTCACAGGGGCCTTGAATGTTAGAATTGTTTCTGCTCATTATCTTGAAGACTATATTGTATTTATCACAAAGTATTCATATTCCACATACCGGTACTGATTGGTCATAATTACTAAATGACCCCATTTAATTTTGGGTTACTAGGTCAAAGGTAAAGGTCACAGAGACATTGCGTGTAAGAATTGCTTCCGCTTATTGTCTTGAAAGCTTTTTATCACAAAGTCTTCATATTTGACATATTCATTGGTCATATGAAGTAGATGACACCTACTGGTTTCTGGGTCACTATATCAAAAGTCAAAAATTGTTTTCGCTCATCTTTAAAAGCTATTTATCACAATTTCTTTTTATTTCACACAGTGATTAGTCATAACTAGTAGATGACCCTTATTGAGTTCTGGGTCACAAGGTCAAGGTCACAGGGGTCTTGAATGTTTGAATGGTTTCTGTTTATTGTCTTGAAAACTATTTATCACAAAGTCTTCATATTTCACATACTAATTAATAATTGGTCATGTGTAGTAGATGACCCCTATTGATTTTGGGATCACAAGCTCAAAGGTCATGGTCGCAGGGGCCTTAAATGCGGAATGGTTTCCGCTTATTATCTTGAAAACTTCTTATCAAAAAGTCTTCATATAACACAGTCATATGGATGAGTCATAATGGGGTCACTTGTTCAAAGGTCAAGGTATTTCACATACTGATAGTTTATTACTAGTAGGTCATTATTCTTTCCCTTGTTTCCATAATTGAACACTTCCATGTACCTATTTATGGCAAGTTTCAAACTTACCAATAGTATGAGCGCTAGAAATGGAGCATATGTGTATTTCAACTTTTCTTGTTGATTACGTTCTTGTGGCTGTTTGACTGGAAAGGCATCCAGGTTCATATAATGTATATGAAGTGTATTAAGGAATATCAGCTGAAAAAAATTGTTTCAATTTTGATTTTAAAATAGGTCATATTTAAAGATTAAATGTAAGCTATGGTTTCTCATGTTGATAGTCACACTTAAAGGTTAAATGTTAGCTATACTGGTTCATTGTGAAGGTTACACTTAAAGTATAATGTTAGCTGTACTGGTTCATTGTGAAAGTTACACTTTAAGTATAATGTTAGCTATACTGGTTCATAGCGAAAGTAACACTTAAAGGTTAAATGTTAGCTATACTGGTTCATTGTGAAAGTTACACTTAAAGGTTAAATGTTAGCTATACTACCTGTATTTCATTGTGAAGGTTACACTTAAAGTTTAATGTTAGCTGTACCGTCTTTTGTTGAATTCACAATTCAGTACATACTCCTTTGTATCATTTTTATACCCTCGCACTACAAACAAAATTGTAAGGGGGGTATACTTGAATCAGCTTGGCAGTTGGACGTTGGCGGTCCGTCAGTTTTTCCTTGTCCCCCCAATAACATAAAATTCCTTTGACCTACAGTCTTCATATTTGGTATTTAGATAAGTCATGATTAAAATATAAACCCATAGTGATTTTGAGGTTACCAGGTCAAAGGTCAAGGTCACAGCACCTTGACTAAAAAAAGTGTGTGCGCCCAATAACTTAAGAATCCTTTGACCCAAATTCTTCATATTTGATATTGAGATTGGTCATGATTTGTAGATGACCCCTATTGATTTTGAGGTCACCGGGTCAAAGGTCAACGTCACAGGGGCATTGACTAAAAAGCTTGTCGGCCCAGTAACTTAAGAATCCTTCTACCCACAGTCTTCATATTTGGAAAAGAGGTTTGTCATGACTATTCGAAGACACCTATTGATTTTGAGGTCACTGGGTCAAAAACAAGGTCACAGGGACCTTGACGCAAAAAAGCTTTTCCGCCAAATAATTTGAGAATCCTTTGACCCAAAGTCTTCATATTAAGCATAGAGGTTAGTTATGATTACCCCTATTGATTTTGAGGTCACTGGGTCAAGGTGACAGGGGCATTGACTAGAAAAAGCTTGTTTGCCCAATAACTTTAAAATTCCTTTGACCCACAGTCTTCATAATCGGCATGGTGTTGGTCATGAACATTAGATGACCAATATTGCTTTTGAGGTCATTGGGTCAAAGGTCAAGGTGAGAGAGGCCAGTACTTCAAAAAAGCTTATCTGCTCAATTGCTTTAGAATACTTTGGTCAGCAGTCTTCATAGTTGGCATGGAGGTTATTCATGATTATGAGATGACCCTTATTGTTTTTGTGGTCACTGAGTGAAAGGTCAAGATCTTGACTATAAAAAAAACTCGTCCGCCAAACATCTTTAGAATCCTTTGACCCACAGTCTTCATATTTGGCATGGAGGTTGGTCATCATTATGAGATGACCCCTATTGTTTGTGGTCACTGAGTCAAAGGTCAAGGTCAGAAGGGCCTTGACTATAAAAAATTGTCCACCAAACATCTTTAGAATTCTTTGCCCCACAGTCTTCATATTTGGCATGGATGTTGTTTATGATTATAAAGTGACCCCTATTAGTTTTAAAGTCACTAAGCTTTTAATTCTGAAAGCTTGTCTGCTCAATTACTTAAGAATGCTTTGGTTAACAGTCATCTTATTTGGTACTGAGGTTAGTAATGACTAGTAGATGACCCCATATTGATTTTTAGGTGAATATGTCAAAGGTAAAGGTCATAGGGGCTTTAACTACAATAAGCCTGTCTGCTCAAATGCTTAAGAATGCCTGTCCACAGTGTATTGATTTTGACATTTCACATTTGAAGCATTATTATATTCTCATATATTCATCATAAAACACCCCCGGCAATGCTGCATGAATTGGGAGGGTATTCAAGTCATACAGTGGCAGTTTCAGTTTTGAAGTCAGTAGGCCAAAGGTAAAGGTCACTTTGATCGTTGCCACTAAAAACATGTAGTATAAATATTTTAGTAATGCACTGGCTTACTACCAACAGATTTGGCAGGAAGGTTGTCTGTTTATTCTGACAAAGTGGTATGCAGGGGTATTCACGCCATGACAGTGGCAGTTCTGTTTTTTTGTTTGATTTGGGTTTACATCACACTGACATAGGTCATATGGCCACGCTCCAGCTTTATTGGTGGAGGAATACCTCAGGTGCCCTTCCGTGCATTATTTCAGGCACAAACGGGCAGTGACCTGATTAGAACCATGGTAGTTCTGTAAGCTAGTTGGATAGCTTCTTATCATGAAATAATTCAAAGGGTCTGTCGGGATTCGATCTCACAGCTGTGAGGGGCAAGTGGTTTGAAGTCAACAACCTTAACCACTTGGCCACAGATGCCCCAGTTCTAGTAAGTAACATCTTAATAATATCTTATAGATTAGTCTTGAACTAAAAGTATTTTTGGAGAAAAGAAGATGATTTGTTTTTGCAGGAGATGGCAAAAATTAACACAGTAACTTCCTCAGGTCAAAGTCAGGCAGAGTATGAGCAAACCAAGTTAGGTGAGTAAATATTTGTTTTGATGGTGTACATACAAGTGTATGATATTGCCATTAATATAAATAAAAACCAGCTGAATGTCATTGTTACTTTATCATTTTAGAAATTAGAATGATATAATTATTATATACTCCGGATCATACAATATCATTAAATTTATGATATTATTAAATTTATGAAATTACAATGTAACATTTGATTATATCCTACCACATAATGTGGTTGGTGCTATACTGGAATCACTTTGCGGCATCATTAGATCAGTCATTCCGTCTGTTTGTTTCCATTGGGTCAATATCCCCCTTGAAGGACAAATGCCAAACATCAAACTTATTTTTCTTTTCTCTATATATTCTATACCCCCTGTGTGATTTTCCTTAAATTTGCCTCAACAAGGCAGTATGCATAACCAATGTCTGTGCTTGGTTTACAAGGCAATGTTTAGAACCTATGCCTCTGCCGTGCTGGCTCACAGCTTCTTTGATTGTCAAAGGTCAAATATCAGACAGACAATCATGTACTCGCTCTATAAACTGTATAAATTTTCTTTAAATTGGCATAACTGTTTACTGTAACATGAAAAGACATACTACAGCTGTGCCAGTTCAAGGTCAAGTTAACCATTGAAGGTCAAATGTCATATATCAAACATTTTGTCTCTCTATAAATACTACACTTGTCAAGGATTTTCTTCAAACTTGACGCGGATCACCTGAATAAGGCAATGTGATGAACCAATGCCACTGCCTTACCAGCTCAAGGTAAAGGTCACTCTGGGTCTATTAATGTTTCTTTCACTTTTAAGATCTTGTCATGAGGAATCTTGTTATGTTTAGATCATTTGTAAGTTTTGCTGATTTTATTGGCTGCTCAATAAATTTCAGGTTGTCGTACTCAATTGATAGAACATTATCGCAGTGACGTACTTAAAGTATCAGCAATACCTTTACAACCAGATGAGGAAAATTATAACTTCAGTGATGTTTATATAAGACCCACTATAACAAACAAGATAGAAAAGAACAGAGGGGAGTCTGAGGAAAAAGAAATAGAGTCCATGTCAGAGATTTTCACAAAGAGTGGGGAACCACAGAAATTTATTTATGTTATTGGAGATGCAGGGTCTGGTAAGAGTAGTTTCTGTAAATATTTGATCAACTGTTGGTGTATGGCACACAGTGATAGACACAATGAAGATGATGAGTTTGAAGGAGTCAAGGAAATGAAGAAATTTGATTTCATGTTTTATATTTCTCTTAGACATAACATAAAGATCAGAAGTATCCAAGAAATGCTTGAAATGCGATATGATAAGATAAAAAATTTAAGTAAACTTCTGGAAAATGATTCTGAAAAGATAATTATTTTGCTTGATGGTTTAGATGAATGGTCTTTTGACAGTGAGACTAGGAATGAGTTCCAGGCAGGCCTTCCGGAACGTGACTTTACAAAGAAATACACCATTGTTACTACATCACGGCCCTGGAAAATTCACAGTTTGAGAGTAAGTAATAGAGAGATTCATCAATTATTGAAATTAAAAGGGTTTGATGAAACACATGAAGAAGAAATGATTAAGAAAATAATAACAGCATTGAACAAATCATTAGATCCTAATGTGTGTGAACAAAAGCTTAATGTTCAGTTTCTGGTTGGCCTGAAACAGGTACCAATTATGCTGCAGCAATTGGTTTGTCTATGGTGTGATGTGGGTAAACTTGATAAAAACCTCAAGGTGTGCTATTTATACTGTATGTTAAACTTATATTTCACTGGAATACAATAAAACTTTAGGAAAAATACAGAATGTATGGAAAGTTCTCAGAATGTTGAACTCCCTCAGTATTTAAACAGATGTAGAGATATGTAGATTAAATAGTCAATTATATATGGTGTGTTGCGCACTTGGCTTATGAGCATTGTTCAATTATCCTAAGGATATGTCCTTAACATTTGACAAATCTGTGTTTGATCATTTAAAAATATCACAAGAAGTGCGAGAGGAAACATGTCTGAAACTGGGGAATTTGACAGAAGATAAATTCGTCCTTCTTTTTCTGTATCCAAACCTAAAAGCTCATTGTTCTCTTTCATTCACAAATCAATGCAAGAATTTCTGGCTGCAGTGAATATTGTTATTAATTTCAATGCAAAAATGTGTTCATCAGATAGTACAGGAAATGTTGAATTAGTCAAAAAGTTTATTTGTGACGTTTTTCGGAATTGTTCAACAGTAAATGACATATTAGAGCAGTCAAATGTCATCATTATGCTATCTGGTCTAGAATCTAGATTAGCAACTCATGTTTCAAAATACATATATGATACTGCATCGAAAGACTCTTGTGTTCAGGAATACAGGAGAACAATAAATAGTGACATTTATAGCGATCATGATTGTATTACAGATATTCAAAAGCTTATGTTTGAGTCAATGGAAGAATTCAATGCAACATGTAGTATAGGAAGTAATACAGTATTTTATATAGGAGATTTGGTCATTGATGATAGTGATGATTGTGATATTGTTTGTTCAAGTATTGATCAGCAACAAATTGTTCCTGACTCTGTTCTGTCTATTAATGTAGTTTACATCAACACAAAAAATGTTAAATTTACAAAATATTTACTAAAGTTTCACCATCTTGAAAAAATTGCAATAAGATATGAATCTGAATCTCAATGGTTATTTAGTACACAAAGTGATAGTACACAGAGTAATGAAAGGAGGATTGATGAAATAAACAATTGTGTTTCTGAGACAATAAAAGTAAATACTTCAACATTAAAATCTCTGTCTCTTGATGTATATCACATTGACAAGTATTACCCAGTGTGTAAAACAGTTGTTAGTAACTTACCTAGTATGATCGATCTTGTAGCAATAAGAATGAGTGGTATAACAATGAGTCATGTGATACTACTACACTTTGTAATTTTCTTGAGGGAACCAGTCATCTTGAACAAATACATCTTGTTCATTTGAATGTGAGTGTATGAAGCAGCATGATGTAAATTTATCAAAACATCAACAACTTCAGTACCTTTATTTGGATAATACTGTAAGTGTGATAGATGCTGATACTACAAAAATTGAAATATTTATTTTTGGAACTTTGAAAAATAGTAATTATGAGAAAATATTTGATATTATTAGAAAATCTAACAAATTAAAAGAACTTGAATTGTATGCAGATGATAACAATAAATCTCAATCATATCATACCAACATAACAAAGAGTCTAGTCACAGTATTACCATTGTTACACAATCTCAGTGAGCTTGAGTTACAGTGTTGTAGGTTAACTGACAATATAATACAGTTACCTTTAGAGATGAAGAGTTTAAAGAACATTAAGCTGGATCGTGAAATAATGAGTTTGACAACATGGCAGAAGTTTGTTGATAGTCTTCCTCACATTCCTCATACTGTAGATGTGGATGTAAGGTTCTGTAATATAACAGGAGATGGTGAGGAGATTAATGATGATATGTTAACATTGGTATCACAAGGACGTAGAAGAGAGAAGGGAAATGATGCTATACAGTATTTAAGAGATCAGGAGCACTTATTTCATGTTAAAGGTAAATATGATTCTAGCTCGACTTTTTTTTAAAAAAAATAAAAAAGGGGTATTGTTACAGCCATGGCTTGTTGCCATTGCCGTCCGCAAACTGTAACCTTGATCATTATTTTTAGCTCGACTATTCAGAGAATATGGAGAGCTATTGCAGTGGCCCCGGCGTCAGTGTTGGTGAAAGTTTTTTGTAAAGTTTTTCCTTATATGTATATAATTTTCTTTAAGCTTGCCTGTCACAAAGTGACATGGTGATCGTTTGTGATCACTTTTTGTCCGTCTGTCGTCTGTCCTTAAACTTTTATTTTACACGACATCTCCTCATCAACAGCTAAGCCAATGTCATCCAAACTTCACAGAAATGGTCCTTTGGTGGTTACCTTTATAAATTGTTCAAAGAATTTAATTCCATGCAGAACTCTGGTTGCCATGGCAACCAAAAGAAAAAAAAACTTTAAATATCTTCTTTTATAAAGCCCAAAGAGGTATAGCTTAGATATTTGGCATGAACCATCTTCTAGTGAGTGTCTATCAAGTTTATTCAAATAAAAGCCCTGGGGTACAAATTGGTCCCGCCACAGGGGGTCATTGATTTTCCTTATATGTAAATACTAAGAACTTAAAATTCTTCTTTTAAAAAAACTGAAAGAGCAAGAGCTTAAATATTTGGCATGAAACATTGGCCCGCCACAGGGGGTCATTGCTTTTTCTTATATGTATATAGTAAAACCTTAAAAGATCTTCTTTTAAAGATCTTCTTTAAAAAAAAAAACTGAAAGAGCTAGAGCTTAAATATTTGGCATGAAACATTGTCTAATAAGTGTCTACCAAGTTTGTTCAAATAAAGGCCTGGGGTCAAACTTGGCCCCGCCCCAGGGTGTTATTAATTTTCCTTATATGTATATAGTAAAAACTTAAAAAAACTTCTTTTATAATACCGAAAGAGCTAGAGCTTAAATATTTGGCATGAAACATCTTCTAGTGAGTGTCCAACAAGTTGGTTCAAATAAAATTCCTGGGATCAAAATTAGCCCCACCCAGGGTGGTCATTGATTTTTCTTATATGTATATAGTAAAAACTTCAGATATCTTCTTTTAAAAGCCCAAAGAGTAAGAGCTTAGATATTAAGCATGAAACATTTTCTCGTGAGTGTCCATCAAGTTTGTTCAAAAAAAGCCCTGGGATCGAAATTGACCCCGCCCTGGGGTAACAGATTTTCCTTATATGTCTATAGTAAAAACTTTTAAAAATCTTCGTTTAAATAACCCATAGAGCTAGAGCTTAGATATTAAACATGAAACATCTTCTAGTGAGTGTCTACCAAATTTGTTCAAATAAAAGTCCAAGGGTTAAATTGGCCCTCCCCGGGGTTCTGATTTTCCTTATATGTCTATAGTAAAAACTTAAAATATCTTCTTTTAAAAACCCAAAGAGCTAGAGCTTATTCATCATGAAACATCTTCTAATGGGTGCCTACCAAGTTCGTTAAAATAAAGCCCCTGGGTAAAAATTAGCCTGCGCAAGGGCCTATAAACAGATGAGTGACTTCGGGCCATCATTGTCTTCTTGTTTAACAGATATTCTTGTCGAAAAGAACAAGGCTTAGAGCTTAGATATTTGGTATGTAGTATCACCTATAGTTCCTTTACCAAAGTTGTTCAAGTTATAGCCCTAGGTCAAAATTGGCCCCTCCCCAGGGGATCATAGGTTTTCATAATATGTATATAATTAAAACTTAAAAAATCGTCTTGTTTGAAGGTACAAGTCTTAGAGCTTAGATATTTGGTATATAATATCGTCTATCACCAGGGGGTCAATGTTATATAGAAAAAAACTTTAAAATTCTCTTCTCTGAATTGCAAAGGCTAGAGGGTTAGATATTTGGCATGAGGCATTGTGTAGTGGAACTCTACCAAGATTGTTCAAATTATAGCCCTATGTGAAAATTGAATTTAAGACCTAATAACTTCACTTTTGTATATCAATTGCATTTAGTACTCAGATGGGTGCGTTGGGGCCAATGGTCCCTTGTTCACTTAGTCTGTTGGTTAATGTTTACATGTAAGTTTTACATATCTCTGTCAAAAGGTAGACCTGCATTCAATTCCTGTCCTTTCCATTACTCCAATGCCATTATTTTAATAACTGTTCTAATTGTCGAGCATGCTGTCATCGGTCATCTCTGATTTACTTATTTCCAAATTTATGCCCCTCTTATACTCAATGAAAATTATTGTGAACTTTTGGCTTGTAAGCTGGTATCTCCCTTTACTACTGAAGGGAATAGAATGAAACTCAACATACATTTCACTCTGATTTTTAACATGATTGGCACAGGTCCCACAACTCTGATTTACTTATTTACATATTTATGTCCCTTTTTATACTCAATGAAAACATCCTTGTGACAACTCTATCGAACAGTCGAGCATTGCTGTCCTACGACAGCTCTTGTTATGCACCCCAAAGTATTTAGTAGATGCTTGTCCGTCTGTCACAAAACTTGTGCAGACTACTCCTCAGAAACTACTGGTGCAATTTTATTCAAACTTTGCAGGAATGATCAGTACCAAGTCTTGTTGTGCATATCATCAGCATTTTCTAGTTCAATGCTTTTTGTCTTAGTTTTTGCCCTTTAATAATTTTTTGATAGTTTTGTCTGGATTTCTTCTCTTAAACCACAATTCAATTTCAATGAACCTTTAAAGGATTGATCTTTAGCTCAAGTTCTTGTGTTTATTGCACCGGTTTTCTGGTAGAATGATTTTTGGAAGAGTTCTGACTCTTGAATAAAAAGGTTGATTTTTTATGTGTTGCCACAAAAGCTTGTCTGGCAGTGGACTACTTCTCAAAAAATACTAGTGCAATTTCATCCAAACTTTACAAGAACGATCAGTACCAATTCTAGTTGTGCATGACGGTCTGTCCATCTGTAGATTACATGGTTTCCACTGACTATCTTGAAAATCTATATATCTCAAAGTCTTCATATTTCACATACTGATTGGCCATAATTAAAAGTTGACCCCTATTGATTATGGTGTCACTAGGTCCAAGGTCAAGGTAACAGTTGCCTTAAATATCAGAATGTTTTTTACTGATTTTCTAGAAAACTATTCTTTTAAAAGTCTTCACGTTTCACATACTAATTGTTCATAACTTGCAGATGACCACTGTTGTTTTAAGTGTCACAAGTTCAAAGGTCAAGGTCACAGGGGCCTTAAATGTCAGAATGTTTTCCGCTCATCTTAAAAACTGTTTATCACAAAGTCTTCATATTTCACATATTGATTGGCCATAACTTAAGTAGATAACCTCTTTTGACTTTGGGGTCACTAGGTCAAAAGCCTTTAATGTCAGAATAGTTACATTTATGTGATACTATATATTTTACCTTCCAACTTGTATAACTTATTAATGATAGCTTTCATTCATTTTTAGCTCAATTTTTTTTTTTTTTAAAAAGTACAGGTATTGCTATAGTCGCGGCGGTGTTGCCGTTCCTGTTCCCGTCCGCAAACTTGTAACTGGATCATAACTTTTTTATTTATTGGTGTATTGTCTTCATACTTGGCCACAACAACCCTTGGGACAAGACCTTTCAGTAGACCTCACTAACCTTGACCTTCATCCATAAATGACCTTGACCTTCGAGGTTAAAAGTCCAAATTTTGCTTGTTCATGCTGTTATTGGCTGTAACTTTGTTATTTTTGAATGGATTGTCTTCAAACTTGAACATAATAATCTTCAAGGATAACCCTTAAAAATAACCCGACAGACCTTGACCTTCACCCATAAATGACCTTTACTTTGAAGGTCAAATTATTGAACTTTTCATTGTTTTTGCTGTACCTGGCTGTAACTTTGCTATTATTGAAGGGATCAACTTCATATTATAACAGAACATACTTAAGGACAAGACCTTGTTGTTTATCAAACACTTGGGCTCTCTAATGACCACGTGACTCCACCACGTGACTTCACCACGTGACTACCACCTTACTCCACCACATGACTCTACCACATGACACCACCACGTGACTGTACTACGTGACTCAACCACGTGACACCATCACATGACTTCACTACATGACTCTACCACGTGACACCACCACATGACTCCACCACGTGACTCCATCATGTAACTCCGCCACATGACTACCACGTGACTCTTCCACGTGACACCACCATATGACTCCAGCACGTGACTTTACCATGTGACACCACCACATGACTTTACCATGTGACACCACCACATGACACCACCAAATGACTTTACCACGTGACTCCACCACATGACTTCACCAGGTGACTTCACCACGTGACACTACAATGTGACACCACCACGTGACTTTACCTCGTGACTCAACCACGTGACTCCACCACATGACTCTACCACGTGACACCATTCCACCACGTTACTCCATCACGTGACTTTACCACATAACTCCACCACATGACTCTACCTCATGACTCAACCTCATGACTCAACCACATGACTCCCCCCACAGACTCTACCCCTTTACACCATTCCACCCATTTACTCCCCCACATAACTCCACCCCCATGACTCTACCCCCGGACTTCCCCCACGTACTCTACCATGTAAAACACCCGTGAAAACCCCGTGCCACCACCACCCAAAACACCACAAAAACTCCACCACGGGCTCCTACAGTGCCCAAAACCCCCTGATTTTCCAATGACACCACCCCTGCTCCAAAAACCCGATACTTTCCCCCACGTGACACCTCCCCCAAAAACAAACCCCCAAGTGATCCACCCCTGGGGGCACCCATACTCCAAATACGTGACACCCCCCACAAACAAAAACCTTTGTCATTTGCTGACACCACCAGTGCACCACGGACTCCCCCCTGTTCTATTTATTTAAAAATTTTTATTTATTTGAATTTGGGGTTTCTATTTATAGAATTGCATTTTTCTTTTTATAGAATTGCGTATTTCAGACCAATTAATTTTATTTAAAGGAAACGTTAAGATTTAGTTCAAACATTTCTTTGTTTGCTTTTAGAGAAAGAAAAAGGTCGACCGTTGCCCCCGCCAGGCGGTGGCTCTTGTCAGGTCATATATTGGTATTTTTTCTCTTTCCCAAAATGTACCAGTTTGTAGCATGTTTCTATAACAAAATTACCAATAGTATGAGCCAAGGGCTAGAAAGAGGGGCATATGTGTTGTTCGACATTTCTTGTTATTTTTAGCTCACCTGTCACAAAGTGACAGGGTGAGCTTTTGTGATCGCTTTTCGTCCGGCGTCCGTCCGTCCGTAAACTTTTACTTTAAATGACATCTCCTCATACACCACTAAGCCAATTTCATCCAAACTTCACAGGAATGTTCCTTTGGTGGTCACCTTTAATAATTGTTCAAATAATTTAATTCCATGCAGAACTCTGGTTGCCCTGGCAACCGAAAGAAAAAACTTTAAATATCTTCTTTAAAAAAACACCAAAGAGCTAGAGCTTAGATATTTGGCATGAAACATCTTCTAGTGAGTGTCTACCAAGTTTGTTCAAATATAAGCCCTGGGATCAAAATTGGCCCCGCCCCAAGGGGTCATTGATTTTCCCTATATGCATATTGTAAAAATTTAAAAAATCTTTTTTAAAGAACCCAAAGAGCTAGAGCTGAGATATTTAGCATGAAACATCTTCTAATGAGTGTCTACCAAGTTTGTTCAAATAAAAGCCCTGGGGTCAAAATTGGCCCCGCCCCAGGGGGTTATTGATTTTCCCTATATGCATCTAGTAAAAACTTAAAAAATCTTCTTTTAAAGAACTCAAAGAGCTAGAGCTAAGATATTTAGCATGAAACATGTTTTAATGGGTGTCTACCAAGTTTGTTCAAATAAAAGCCCTGGGGTCAAATTTGGCCCCGCCCCGGGGGTCATTGATTTTCCTTATATGTGTATAGCAAAATCTTCAAAAATCTTCTATGAAAAAACCCAAATAGCTAGAGTTTAGACATTAAGCATGAAACATCTTCTAGTGAGTGTCTACAAAGTTTGTTCAAAAAGCCCTGGGGTCAAATTTGGCCCCGCCCAGGGTGTCATTGATTTTAGATATATTTGTATAGTAAAAACATAAAATATCTTCTTTTAAAAACCCAATGAGCTATAGCTTAGATATTTAGCAAGAAACATCTTTTTATGGGTGTCTACCAAGTTTGTTCAAATAAAACCCTTGGGTTAAAATTGGCCCTGCCGGAGGGGGGGCAGGTCATTGTTTTTCATTATATGTGTGTAGTAAAAACTAAACAACATGAAACATCTTCTAATGGGTGTCTTCCAAGTTTGTTCAAATAAAAGCCCTAGGGTTTAAGCTGGCCCTGCTGCGGGGCCACTATACAGGTGAGCGACCTCAGGGCCATCATGGCCCTCTTGTTAAAGTTTGTCAGAACAACTCTTATACCTTTAATTCAATATCGATGACACATAACAGGATTGAATGGTGGGTCAAGTACATTTGCATACTACACAAGTTTTCCCCTCAAACATTTTATGCTCCCATAGGGCAGCATATACTGATCACTCTGTCCTTCCATCCCTCTGTCCGGTAATCTTGTCCGCAATTCATCTCCAAAACTGCTAGGGGAAATTCAGTGAAACTTCACAGTAGTGATTAGTACCATCTTTAGTTGTGCATATCGCCAGCACGATCCTGTCAGTTGCACAAAAAGGCCGCTATAAATAGAAAAATATTTTCCACGCTTCATCCCCAAAATCGCTTGGGGGATTTCAGTGAAACTTCACAGGAGTGATCAGTATCAATTCTCTACTTGTGCATATCGCCTACACATTACGGTTAGCTGCACAACATAGCTACCAAAGCTTTAAAAAGCAAAATGTTGTCTGCGATTCATCTCAAAAACCACTGGGAAATTGCAGTGATATTTCACCGTAGTGATCAGAACCATCCCTAGTTGTGCAAATCGCCTGCACGTTCTGGTCAGTTGCACAAAATGGCCGTCAAAGCTATAAATAGAAAAATATTTTCCAAGATTCATAGCCAAAACTGCTTGGGGGATTTCAGTGAAACTTCACATGAGTGATCAATATAAAAATTCTGGTGCATATCGCCGGCACATTCTGGTCAGCTGCACAAAATGGCCACCAAAGCGATAAATAGTAAAATATTGTCTGCAAATTTATCTCCAAAACCACAAGGGGAAACAGTGATATTTCACAGTAGTGATCATTACCATCCTAGTTGTGCATATCTTAAGCAAGTTCCACTCCGCTGCACAAACGACTACCAGAGATATGAATGAAAAGTTTATTGCTGGTCAAATGCTAGTGGGATTTCAATAAAACTTCACAGAAGTGATCCATGCCATCCCTAGGTGTGCATATCGCCGGCCCATTCCGCTCAGCTGCTCAAAATGGTGGTCAGATCTAGTAATAGTCACATTTTGTTATAGTAAAATTTGTTTAGACTACTCCTACACTTCTAATGGAATAGAAATTTTAGGAATGATAATGCAGTCAGATGTATATTACCGGTATTTTGGCATATATTGGAGATTTTATGTAACTGCATTAGTCTTTTTTCTGTAATTAAAAAATTCACATTTATGGTCAATGGTAGGGAATTTTTGTAACAATTTTCTCAGCAACTACTTTATCACATCCTCTTGATATTTGGTATACAGCATTAACGCTTGGTTCCATACTGTGGGATTCAAATTCAGATCTGTCGCTCATTTACTTCCTGTTTACTGACATAGAAAAAATTTAACCATTTATGGTCAATGGTAGAATATTTTCGTAACATCACAGCTTCATGATATTTTGTATACAGTACCCTAAAGACCAAGAAAAGGATTGCTTTTTGACCTCTTTGGATCAAGGTCAAGGTTACTGGTAATAAAACAGGAAAATTGTTTCTAGACAATATTGTGATATAGTAATAGCCTCCTTATATGAAGACGCGTGCTGATTTTGCGTTTGTAACCCCTTGGTACAAGGTCAGGGTCACCGAAACTAAAGATAGAAAATGGTTTCCAGACAGTAACTAGAGTTTAGGAGTGAGATATTGCAATCAAACTGCATATTTAGCAAGCTTATATGAAAATAGGTTGGGGTTGCTATCAGACCCTTTGGAATTAAGGCCAAGGTCACCTGATTACTAAAAACGAAAAATGGTTTCAGGACAATAACTAGTGTTGGGAATGAGATATTGTAATTAAATTTGATAAAAAGCAAGCAAATTAGAAGACCACAGGTGTGATTGCTTGGACTCCCTTAGGTCAAGGTCACTGTCAAAAAATATAAAAATGGTTTTCAGACAAAAACTTGAGTAAGCAATGAGAAATTGTAATCAAACTTGGTATAAATCATGCTTATTAGAAGACTCAGGTTGGTATTGGGTTTTGACTCCTCAGGTTATGGTCAAAGACACCATTAATATAAGTTCAAAAATGTTTCGGGACAGTTACTACAGGACCGTTACTAGAGATAGGAATGAAAAATTGTGATCAAACTTGGTATACAACAAGCTGATAAGTAGACCCCAGTTGCGATTGCTTTTGGACCCCATGTGCTCAAGGACGAGGTCACTGTAACTAGAAATAGAAAAAATGAGTAAATTGATTTCTGGAAAATTGTAAAAAATTATCGTTAGACAAATGAAACATCATACATTATAGTTAAAGTTCAAATTTTGTTTCAGACCAGACTTCAGACCACTTTTCTTTCATAAATGAAGAAGAGAAATCTTCTGAATGGGATAGATGCATCACAAGTGGAAGTGAGACAGCTGCAAAAATTTTAATTGATAGAGAAATTTTACCATCTCAAAGAGAGTTGCGCAAGGCTTGTCGTGTATTTGGAGTAGATTCACACATACTTTCTAAAATGTGCTCTATGATTAGCAAACATATCAGAAAAAAATCAGAAAATGTGATTGATGTATTGCCATCCTATCAAATTGATCATGTACTTTCAAGTAGGTATGTGTCTATTGTTTTTGTAGTAGTGCTTAAGAAAAATTCCAGACGTTTGGTATCCAGAGATAACTATGAATGTTACATCAAATGGGAAAATGCCTACAGTTCTGAAGGAAAACTTGTAGCTGTTAAAGAAATGGAATTTGATACTAGTGACATTCAATCTTCTGATGCCGTTCTGGAAAATATTAGAAAATGTGTAAACAAGAATGCTGATGATCTTCTTCAAAAACATAGTAATTTAAATGTGATTTTACCAAGTTTGATGAAGTCAGTAGGTTATATGTCAGACAAACAGGAACATGAAATTAAGATTAAACCTTGCATAGCTCTCTATGTTTCAGTAAAGGGATATATACCTCTAAATGAGACACCATTTGAAAAAGAAATTGATGGATTCCCAACAGATGTTTTAGAGGGAGAATTTGAACCATTTATAGGAGGACCAAACCATTACCATGAACATCTTAAGATGGGTGTTGCAATACATGCCAATGTTTCAATCGGAGATAAAATCTTAGGGGGGACTCTTGGAGGATTTATAAACCATTCAGTGCATGGATTATGTGGAATAACAAGTGCACATGTTGTTTATGATAGTGCTGAATTAGCAAGGGTGAAAAATGCTAAAGAATTAAGTTTAATAAAGACGGTTTATCAGCCTATAAATGAATGCATGTCAGCGTTTGGTGAAGTTGTTCTGGCTATTTACAATGAAGGAACTGAGTCTGAATCTGGAATGGAAGTTGCTCTTATAAGCATTAAAGATAGGCAACCCAAGGATGGAAGTTTTCCTGAAGCATTGAATGAGTTGGAAGCAGGTGAGCATTTTTTTAGCTCACCCGAGCCGAAGGCCCAGGGTGAGCTATTAGTATCAAAAGGGGATACTACGGCGTCCGTCGTCATGCGTCAACACAGTCACCGTCTTCTTCTCTGAAATACTGGCAGATTTACTTCAAATTTGGTCTGTAGCACCCTTGTGACAGTCACACTTGAATTTGCTCATGTCATTTTTTGGCCCATTTTAGGGGTCAACAGGGCTAGAAATAGAAAAACCTTTAGACATCTTCTATAGAACTAATTGATGAATGATCACAAATTTTGTCTGTAGCACTCTTGGGTAGTCTTTTATCAATTTTGACCATACTGATTTGATTGGCCCCTTTTAGGGGCCGCTAAAGCTAAAATAGAAATACCTTAAAACGTCTATTTCTATAGAACTAATTGATGGATGATCACCAAACTTTGTCCGTAGCATTGTTAGGTAGTCTTTTATCAACTTTGCTCATATTAATTTGACTGGCCTCTTTTAGGGGCCACTAAAGCCAAAAATATAAAACCTTTGACATTTCCTACTGAAATAATTGATAGATGATCACCAAACATTGTAGCATTATTACCATTTATCAAGTTTGCTCATATTATTTGATTGACGCCATTTAAGCTAAAGCTTAAATGACCCATGTCATGGCATTTCTTCAAATTATTATTTAGATATATTCTATGCTTAAATTAAATATCAGAAAATATTGACAATGGATAATTTCCAACTCTGAAAAGCAGTTGTTTCTGGTGAGCGACTCAGGACCGACATGGCCCTCCTGTTAATTACCAGGACAATAAATCAGAAAACGTTTTATAAAATGACGTTTCTGCTCTCTTGTTCCTTCTTGATGTATAGCTTAAAATCTGCTTGGCCATTTCTTCCTTAAACAACAAATGAAAATTGCTTATTGTCAATGGAGGTGTGATTGTGGCCTACTTATTATTTCGAGCATATAATAAATGAGATCTATCTACCTACAATATTTGAATTTGATATCTTATGTACATTTTGAGTTATGTCCTGGTCAAGGTCACTATGACCTTGAAACTGGAAAAAGTTTCTGAGCTTAACTTAAGTTCCATTTGGCCCAAAGTGTTCAAACTTCATAGAATGGTTGTCCGTATTGGATAGAAGACCCCTATTGATTTTGGGGTCACAACGTCCAAGGTCAAGGTCATTATTACTTTAAAACTGAAAACAGTTTCCGGAGCTTATCGTAAGTTCCATGTGACCCACAATGTTCAAACTTCATAGGATGATTGTCCATATTGGGTAAAATACCCCTATTGATGTTGGGTTCACAAGGTCAAAGGTCAAGGTCACTATTACCTCAAAACTGAAAACAGTTTCCAAAGCATAATTTACGTTCCATTTGGCCCACAGTATTGTAACTTTATAGATGGATTGCTATTGGAAGGTGGTAAAATTTATGTAATAACTTACAAATGCTTCATCCTTACAAAAAAACAACACAATACTTTCTGGCATATAATGCTCTGCCTAGCGGTGCTCTAGTTAAAATTGCTGTGCAAAAGAACCATAACTATGCCTTGCATTTCTTCGGGCATATTATGGTATACCCCTGGCGTCCGTCTGTCTGTCCGTACGAATACAGAGGTACTTGTGTGACTAGGTGAACAAGGGGTAACAGTAAATTCTCTTTGATCCTATTCATTCGTTTTTACTTGTGTGTCTTTTTTTTTGTGTGACTAGCGGTGCTCTTGTTATCCCCCGCCGAAAAATTTCGGCGGAGGATATAGTAATAGTCTCCGTCCGTCCGTCCTTCCGTCCGACATTTTTGTCCGGAGCATATCTCTAAAAGTATTTGAGTTATCAACTTGAAACTTCATAGGTGGATAGACCTCATTGAGGAGGAGTGCAGTGCACAAGAAAGATAACTCTACCTTGCATGATTTTTGAGTTATTGCCCTTTGTTATTTTTCAAAATTGATTTTTGTCCAGAGCATAACTCCAAAAGCCTATGAGATATTAACATGAAACTTCATAGGTGCATAGATCTCACTCAGGAGATGTGCAGTGCACAAGAATGATAACTCTACCTTTCATAATTTTTGAGTTATTGCCCTTTGTTATTTTTCATACCTAAATTTTCACCTGAGTGGAGCATAACTCAAAAAGTGTTTGAGATATCAACATGAAATGTCATAGGTGGATAGATCTTATTGAGGAGGAATGTTGTGCGCAAGAATGATAACTCTTCCCTATACAATTTTTGAGTTATTGCCCTTTGTTTTTTTTTATGCTATTTTGTCCAGCGCTTATCTCAAAAAGTATTTGAGGTATCAACTTGAAACTTCATATGTGGATGGATCTCATTAAGGAGGAGTGCAGAGCTTAAGAATGATAACTCTACCCTGCATTATTTTTGAGTTATTGCCCTTTGTTATTTTTCAAAATTAATTTTTGTCCAGAGCATAACTCAAAAAGCCTTTGAGATATCAAAATGAAACTTCATAGGTGCATAGATCTCACTCAGGAGGTGTGCACTGCACAAGAATGATAACTTTACCTTTTATAATTTTTGAGTTACTTTGTTCTTTTTCATACTTAATTTTTCAATTCAATTTTTTTCTCAAAAAGTATTTGAGGTATCAACTTGAAACTTCATAGGTGGATAGATTTTACTGAGGAGGGATGCAGCACACAAGAATGATAACCTACCCTGCATTATTTTTCAGTAATTGCCCTTTGTTATTTTCAGCCATCAGTATTCACATAGGTTTCAAATCTGTAATCACTATAGCCATCAGTTTTCATTACCATAAGACCTCTTAAAATGGAATTATTCCGCTCTACTACATATACATTCTTCCAATGAGAAAACACATTCGGCGGGGGATGGCCATGTCGACATGGCTCTTGTTAAAATTGCTGTGCTAAAGAACCATAACTATGCCTTGCATATCTTCGGGCATATTATGGTATACCCTGGCGTCCGTCTGTCTGTCCGTACGAATACAGAGGTACTTGTGTGACTAGGTGAACAAGGGGTAACAGTAAATTCTCTTTGATCCTATTCATTCGTTTTTACTTGTGTGTCTTTTTTTAAGCCTTGTGTGACTAAAACTGGACAAAAAGATCAAAGGAAAAGTCAAATTAAGTACTATTGTGTGAGTATGTCAGTCTTTCTGTCCGTCCGTTAGCAATTTGGTTTCCGGAGCATTATTTAAGTTCCATTCAGGTCAAGGTCTATTTTACCTTAAAACTGAACCAGTTTTTGCTCAATTACTTAGATATTAAACAACATACAGCTGTAAATTTTTAAAGAATGCCAGCCATGTCCAATGCATGACCCATATTGATTTTAGGCTCATTATACCCCTGCACAACTAAGTTGTAAGGGGGCATACTGGAATCAGCTTGTTCGTCCAGTTTTTCCTTGTCCGCCCAATAACTTGAGATCCTTTTGCCCACAGTCTTCATATTTGACAGTGAGGTTAGTCATGATTAATAAATAACCCCTATTGATTTCGAGGACACTGAGTCAAATGTCAAGGTCACAGGGGCCTTGACTTTTAAAAGCTTGTCCGCCTAATAACTTGAGATGTCTTGGCCCCTCAGTCTTCATATATGGCAAGGTGGTTAGTCATGATTAGTGGATGACCCCTATTGATTTTGATGTCACTGGATCAAAGGTCAAGGTCACAGGGGCCTTGACTAAAAAAACCTTGTCGGCCCAATATCTTGAGATTCCTTTGACCCACAGTCTTCATATTTGGCATGGAGGTTAGTCATGATTAGCAGATGACCCAGATTGTTTTTGGGGTCACTGGGTCAAAGGTAAAGGTCACAGGGGCCTTGACTAAAAAAACTTGATTTTAAAATGGAGAATTTGAAGCATGGAGAATGCATATCTTAGCAATGCACTGGCTAAGTAACCTCAGATTTGGCATGGGTGGTTGTCCTTGAGCTCTATATGGCCTCTGTTGATTCTGACAAAGTGGTATGGGGTGATTTCACGCCATGACAGTGGCAGTTCTAATTAGATCAAAGGTCAGGGTCACAATGACCTTAACACTGAAAATTGTGCTTTCCGGAACATAACACAATATTACTAATTAGTGATAATTAATCAATTAAACGCAATGGTTCCTTTTTACACTGATAAATATTTTGACTGACAAATGCAAGAACGTACCATATGATTGCTTGGCCCCTTTTTGCATTGTATGATTCTTTTGTAATATTTGCTGTCGAACATATCAAAAAAGGTACCATATGGCAGTTGGCACGTTTTTGTCCCAACAACATTAACAAAAAGCATCATTTAGTTACAGTTTTATTCTACAATGATGCAAATAAAATATGAAATTCTTGTGTTTTCAGTAAATGTCTGATGCAACTATCACATTGCATGTTTTGAAAGTCTTCCTCTGTGATCAATCTCAATGCCTATGTCAAAATATCTTACATTGTCAGTCAAAGTCAGAATCATTCTCATCGGATTCCATCATGCCATAACCCTTTTCATTCGTGTATGTTTTTTAAGTGGCATTATCATTATGGAACTCATTTTGGATAATTTTCTTTGCACACAAAGTAACCAAGTCATTTTTCTTTTGAATAGAAACTGGCGGTTTTGGTATCATCACTTCATATGTTGTTCACCATTTGTCCACTGATACTTTCTTTCTGTCTAGATTCTGTATTTTGAACTTCTATTTCCATAAAATCTTCTGCATTGAAGCTGTTATTTACAACTAGAACTCCGCGAGTCGGATGTGCCGCCTTGTGAACAATATAGTTTAGGAGAAATGGCCAGGACAAAAATGAAATACGAAAACTAACAAAGGGCAATAGCTCAAAAAGTAATAAGTACAGAGCAGCAGATTCTATGCATTGCACTTCTTATCAATAAGATCTATCATTCTATGAAGTTTCAAGTCCATATCTTTTATAATTATCAGGGCTGGGAATCAAAACTGCGTCGTATCCTACAAAATGTAAACAAACGCCGCCATCTTGGAACGAAAAATGTATGTTTTTGTTTATAACTCTTTTTGTTGGAAATGACTGAAAACCAGATATATGTATTAACATGCTACACTATTTTCCGCTTCGTTCGGTATATGTTGCTTAGACAACTATTTTGTAAAACAAAAGTTATAGCGAACTTGCAACTCGAAGCGGAGCAGAATTTTTATGAAAATGTGTGGATACGACGCAGTTCATATTGCTGTATCTATCGTTTCTCCTTCAAATCAATTATATACTCGTTTTCAGAGTTCACCATGAACTTCAAAACATAATTTTGCATCATTTACTAAATTTGCATTAAAAAGAGATGTTTATTTTCCAAAAAAATAATGATTTTTACGAAATGATACGACGCAGTTGAAAAAAAATTATGATACGACGCAGTTGTATTTTCATTGCAGGCTGCATATTGGTTTTAAACTATTTAAATTATGTGCTAGGTATGCTAATAACGTCAAACAACATTTCTTGTTTACAAAACTTAAGTCAAAAGCAGAGGTCACTCATTGGTTCCATAAAAATGGAAATGTAATACAATTCTATTAAGGCTGCATTTTTTAGTCGCATTTA